CCCCAAAACCCCAAAACCCCAAAACCCCAAAACCCCACATGAGGTTACCTAATTGAATTTATTTCCCTTGAGTGAGTTTTAATATGTTCAGCTCAGTATTTCTTAATTCTACATCCAACTCAAAATCTGAATCCTCTGCAGCTAGGAGGTTTTTTGTCTTGTGTTAGATGAGCAATTAGAACGGGGAATTCATAATGAGGTGGAAACTTCTGATATTGTGCTGGATCATTTTAAATATTAGCTTCAGAGTCTTATCCATCCTCGATATGGCTCTATAATTATCTATTGCCTTCACCGAAGAAGTTTTGGGGAATTAAATTATTTATCGAAAAATTTAAATAGCCAATGGAGGTGGTCAACCTGGCTGAATTAGAGCATTAAAGTGACCAAACCTCTTTGAAATAAAGCCCAATAGTAATGAACTAGCTTAACTTAGTACTCTGTTTATTCTTCGTGTTGATCACGTTTTTTTAATATTAAATCGATCGATTTATTGCAATAAAGATGTCTGAATTTTTGCAAATTATTTCTGGCAGACTTTGATAAAAGAGGTTAAGCCTAGCTCAGTAGAGAAACAATAGAAAAGCGTAATTCTCGCTTATTGTAATCTAGTAATCTCTCATTTATCCTCTTCTTCACCATCATCTTAGCTTCATGACGAGGTTGTCGGATTTTCTTGGTTTGTTAGCTGACTTGTTAATTTAGGATCTTTGATAATTTTTACTGTCCACTCCAGTTAGATTTACAAGAATGATGAGGCGATTGCTACTCCTTAAAATGCTTGGTATACAAGTCATTATTGCTGAAATATCTCTTAGAAGCTTTCCTTTTCAGTATTTGGTGAAATCGTCCTAATTTTAGAAAATTTTCTAATAAAATATTAAAACTTAACAAGGGCAGTAAAAGAACTTGGTTTATGATAGAATGACTGGTTTTTTGAAGGATCAATTGAACTCTTTTATTACAATATTATCCAATTTACTTTGCGAAACTGTCTGAGTTTTTCATCTGGTGAAATCGATTTTTATATAAAACTTACCAGAATCGATTTTAAACCAACTCTTTTATCTTCCAAATGAGTTTGAATAATAATGAGAGATTCAGAAATTTAAAAGGCACTGCAAAGCCAGTCTTTCTGAATAAAGTACATTAAGCATCTTCATTTCATCCTTCGCCTCTAAAACTCTCTTGAGAAGTGCCAACAAGTTGTCGCATCAATAATTAATAATTAAGGTCAATTTTTCCAATTCGGGCAGATATTAACAAGGTTTACAAGCCAGATAGCCTGAATTTGAACACTTTTAATGAATGCTTGAAGGCTATTCGATATAAATAGAGCTGAGATGAATTCTCTTGTGTAATAAGAACTCAAAATGAAGAAGTGGTGAAAGCTCCAGATCTAACAGCAATCTGCCTTAAAAGGTATCGGTGACTGAGAGTAGCTAGGTAAGCTTGTTTATTACTCACAGTTACTCTTTTTGGATTTAGTAGTTTTCATTCCTCACTCTAATACTAAATTTTGTAGTGATCCTTTTCAGACGAGGTATTAATAATGCTCGAGCATATGATGACAAGACTCTAGTCTTAGCCATGGAAGGAAATCGCCTTACCTTCTTGCCCTACTATTAGCAGGACTTCTTATCATTCAAATTTAGTAGATATACGTTCTTGTATGGTCAAATCAGAGCTCATTTCCATTCTCATGCTAAAAGAACTCAGCAAAATTTGGAAGAGTGGCCTTGATATCATTCAATATTTAGTTCAAATTATTGAAATCAGACTAGACCTTGACTTTTTCAAAATTTAGTTGACTTCAAGAGTGAGTTAGACTATGATATCGCCCAATTCTTCCATGCTAATTAGAGAAACAAGGTAGCTTAGTTTAAACAAGGTTGAAATATTTAACAAAGTAGGTGTTTTTGGATCGGATTTTCTTATGAAAATTTTTGAAATTTGGCTGAGAAAGCTTAAGGAGTGGTTAATAAGCCCTCAGAAATTATACTTGGATATATTAACAAAAGAGAACTTATGAGCGAGTATGGAAGAGGCCGAGGGGAATAATTCCTGAACTTATAAATTTAAAGCAAATCAATTACAGACAGTTTCATAAACTACATGTTTTATGTTATGGTATGAGACACTTTTTATGAAAATGAGTCTATATGAGCTAGCTCTAGCTACAAATATTAACCCTAATGATCATTTAATGGAGAAATTAGATGCTCCAGATTACTCCATTGTTGAAATTGACCAAGTATATCATGCCATAAATAGTAAAGATCTTTCGATTTTAGCTGTAAAAATGCTATTTAAAAAGTGGGAAGTAAGAAGTAATAATAATAAAAATGAATTTTTTAAATTTTGCCAACAACACAAATTGCACTCAACCTTTAATGTGAAGATCCCCAGATATTTTACAGGAGCTCAGTTCGATGTACTGACTCAGTGATCTGGATAATTCAGTGTCAAAGACCCAAGATTATTGACTTTGCAGTACTCAAGAAACCCAAGAGACTTTGTATCCCAAAAGCGGTGGAATGTATCATCAAGCAAGAGCATATGACATGGAAATCTTTCAACAAGCACCTCAAACTAATATATCTATCAGACCAGTGGTCCAACAAAATATTGAACAGCACGGGAATGTGGAACCACGCCTAAGAAAGAGAAGGCGTAATACTAAAGAACTCAATATCACTGAAAGACTCACCAATTTAAGGTTGCGTATCCTCAGTGGATATGTGACTAAGTTTACTTGTTCAGCTAAAAAGGCTAAGAGTACTCATAAAAAGAACCTCAGAAGGAGATCTAAATATATTGGTGTTTCCAGAAACAACTCAAACTGGCAAGCACTCCTCAATGTTGACCAAATTAAGAAGTATATTGGCACTTTTACAAATGAGCTTCAAGCTGCTAGAGCATATGACATCTACTCAGTGGCAATGAGAGGGGAAGAGGCTTCTCTCAACTTCAACTACAGCGGTGAAGAGATGCTCGAAAGAATTGAGTATTTCCTTGAACATAAAACCATAAAATTTGATTCTTAAAATAACTTTTCTCTAGACATTTTCCACAGTTTCAATTCGATTTGATCTCGAAGGGGTTTTGGGGTTTTGGGGTTTTGGGGTTTTGGGG